CTGTCGCACGACATGAGAGGTGCTCAAGCTGTCCATGAACCTCTGGATTGGGGGTCAAACACCTACAACACCTAAACCAACAAAGGAAGAAAATAAAATAACAAAAACAATAGCAAAAAGAGCAATAAAGAAAAACAAAATAAAATAAGAGAAAATTGTTTCGTTGTTTCGCTCATATCAGATCTGCTGCGCCTAGTTCCCCTCTTCGCCTACAGAGGTCGCACTCACTAGAATTTTAGACGTGTTCTCACCTGTCTCTAATCAGCTGCCGTTTTGAGTATATAAGATCTCTGTTTTGCTCAGTTTTCTCTGCAGTCTTGTACTGGCCATGCCTTGCAACTCTGAGCATTATTACACAGGCTACCCTGTCTCTGCTTTGGTTTATGGTCCCTGAATACTGGTCTATGTTTTTGTACTGTCAGTACTGATTTTAGATAAACTGGTTTTGACCTTTCCTGTATTGGACTTTGAGATTGCACAAATAAACCTGCACCTGACTCCTTATTCCTGTTGTGGGCACATGAATGACAGCTTATGTATACTGATGTGGTAATGTAGCTCATTTGTAACTCATTCATCATAGTCACCAGCTGCTCTGTTTCCAGTGCTTGGTCCCCATTCCCCATATACGCACTGGCCACTGACTCCATGTACTGAAAAACATCAACTGCGTCTTTGACATGCACATAAAAACATTTCCAAATACTTAATGCTAGAACATTCCAACTAAAATAAGTCTTAATACAACTGCATTTCCAAAAAAGTTGGGACGCTGTGCAGAATGTAAATAAAAATAAAATGCTATCATATACAAACCATGTAAATTGCATATCAAATGTATTTTTAAAGGAAAATAGTACAAAGACAACATATCAAATGTTGAAACTGACAAATTAGTTTTTTGAAAAATATATGCCCATTTTGAATTTGATACCAACAAAATGTTCCAAAAACGAAGTTGGGACAGGGGCATGTTTACCACTTTGTTTCATCACCTCTTCTTTTAACAACACACTGTAAGCATTTGGGAACTGAGGAGACAAATTGCTGTCGTTTTAAAAGTGAAATGTTTTGTCGTTCTTTTTTGAAATAGGATTTCAGCTGCTCAACAGTTCTTTGTCATATTTTTCATTTCATAATGAGCCAAATGTTTTCAGTGGGTGACAGGTTTGGACTGCAGACAGGCCAGTTTAACACCCGGACTCTTTTAATACAGAGCAATGGTGTTGTAATACATGCAGATTGTGGTTTGTCATTGTTTTGCTGAAATAATCAAGGCCTTCTCTGAAAGCAGCATATGTTGCCAAAACATGTATATATCGTTCAGCATTAATGGTGCCTTCACAGATGTGCATGTCACCCATGCCATGTGCACTACTGCACCCCTAAACCATCATGAATTCTGGCTTTTGAACTGTGCACTGATAACAAGCTGAGTGGTCTTTAGCCCGGAGGACACAGTGTCCATGATTTCCAAAAAGAATTTCAAATTTTGATTCATTGGGCCACAGAACACTTTTCCACTTCCCCTCAGTCCATTTTAAATGAGCTCGGGCCCAGAGAAGGTGGCAGCATTGTTGGATCCTGTTTATGTACAGATTCTTCTTTGCGTTTGTACTTGCATTTGTGGATGCAGTGACGAGCAGTTTTCACAGACAGTGGTTTTCAGAAGTGTTTCTGAGCCCATGCAGTGATTTCCACTGCAGAATCATGTCTGTTTTTAATGCAGTGCCGCCTGAGAGCAAATACTGTTTTTTGGCCTTTTCTCTTGCATATAGAGATTTCTCCAGATTCTTTTAATGTTATTATGTACTGTAGATGATGAAAAGCAAAAGTTATTTGCTATTTTATGTTGAGAAATGTTATTCTTGAATTGATGCACTATTTGATGGTGCAGTCTTTCACAGAGTGGTGAACCTCTCCCCATCTTTACTTCTGAAAGACTCGGCCTCTCTGGGATGCTTTTTTATACACAATCATGTTACTGACCTGTTGCCAATCAACCACCAGGTGCTTTTTTGGCATATCACAAATTTAGCAGCCTTTTGTTGCACCCGTCCCAACTTTTTTGGAACGTGTTGTTGGCATCAAATTCAAAATGGGCACATATTTTTCAAAAAACAATACAATTTCTCAGTTTTAATGTTTGATATGATGTCTTTGTACTATGAATTGAAAGATGTACTATCAATGAAAGATAGGGTTTAAATGATTTGCACATCATTGCAGTTTGTTTTTATTTACATTGTGCACAACATCCCAACTTTTTTGGAAATGGGGTTGTATTACAAAACTCACTTTTGTGAGTTTAATGTACTATGTGAACATGATTAAGTTTCAAAACGTACCACTCACTCTCCAATCCATATACAGAAACTAAGCTGCAAAAATGGCCTGTTTTGAATTCACTGTTTTTGTGATGTCATGAAAACCAACCAATTGATACATATTCATTCTAACCATTGTTATTAGGTTTTTGAATAAGGTTTAGTACAAAGCAGCCAGTCAGTTTAAGGGACATTTACATATATCAGACTGAGGGGCACAGTATCAAAAACAGCTATTTTGTGATAGTGGTTAGAATTGTCATTTAAAATTATTTCGAGCTATTTTTGGTAGGATATGGGCTCTTTAATACTTCTACTGATTTCATTAGCATATCATAATTTACAGTTTACCTTTATGCGGTGAGTGAATCAGACACAGCAGTGCTGTTGGAGCTTTTAAACACCTCAGTGTCACTGCTGGACTGAGAATAGTCCACCAACCAAAAATATCCAGCCAAGAGCGTCCTGTGGGCAGCGTCCTGTGACCAATAATGAAGGACTAGAGGATGACCAACACAAACTGTGCAGCAGCAGATGAGGTATCGTCTCTGACTTTACATCTACAAGGTGAACTAACAAGGTAGGAGTGTCTAGTAGAGTGGACAGTGAGTGGACACAGTGTTTAAAACTCCAGCAGCACTGCTGTGTGTGATCCACTCGTATCATGACACCATGGCCACCATCATGACAGTGTCACTGCAGTGCTGAGAATGACCCACCACCCAAAAAATACCTGCTCTGGTCCTGTGGGGGTCCTGGCCATTGAATAACAGGGTGAAAGGGGGCTAATAAAGTATGCGGAGAAACAGATTACAGGACTACAGTCTGTAATTGTAGAACTACAAAATGCTCCTTTATGGACCCTGAGGTGATTTTAATGAAGTGGCTGGTCAGTCTTTAAGGCACAGTAAAAAAAACAGCCAGTCCAATTATAAGAGACTAAGATAGGTCATTTAAAATAAGTGATGGCTGTTTTTGGCACATTAACCTACATAAATCCTATACTTGCACCATGGGGAAAATAAAATACAAGAAAAACGTATGATATGGGCCCTTTAATGCACATTACTGTAACACGATTTTATCGACCTTCAGACAGCTGGAAAAATGTTCAAGAAAGGCTGTACAGATGAAAGGCTGACACAGTCAGTAACAATGGCCATTTAACGTTAACCTTTCCTGAACTGTTTCGCTTTCTGTAGTTCCAGTGTTGCTTTCTGTTCAGTGAGTCGCGCCCGAAAGTTTGAGTTGTGAAGGGAAACATGAATCAGATGCAACACAGGCAGACTCGCAAGAATCCTCACTTAATCGGTCCAACATCTTTATAACAAACTAATCTTAGATTAAGTGGGTTATTTACAGTTGGTACAGACAGCTGGCATATCGCAGCCTTGTGAGGTGGTGCTGGGGGTATTTAGCTCAGCGCGTGAGCATGGTTATCTCCTTGCCCCAAGGTCCTGTGCCTTCATATTTATGAGTGCAGCACGAGTAGGGCGTCATCAGGGGGACATGACATTGGTTGACTGATTTAAATACTGTGACGTGTCATGGTACTTCAGTACGAACACACGTAATCCGCGCCTATAGCATATATATTTTACAGTTTGGAAACGTGTTCACATTTTTAGCAAGTCTGCTGTATTTTATTATTACAGAGCAGTGCATTTCAGCTGTTAATGAAAAAAAGGTGTAGTTACTCTTTAAACGTCCACAAGTTCCAGGTAAATCTCAGAAACAAGTCAAAACAAGGACTAAAGCTGATATTTATTTCAGCTTGGAGGGACAAATTTGACTAAGTGAGCTATGACGAAGAAAAGATAGATGATGTTTTGCGTTTCCTGCTGTGTGCACCCCAATGGCTGAGAAGTAAGTAGCTATGTTAGCTGCCAAATTAACCATAAAACCAAATGACTTGCTCACATATAATAAATGTGATTTTTCCAATAACATAATTTTATATAGAAGAAGCAGAATTTCAATACTAGCTAATTAGTGGATTTAATTTAATTGAATGTTAGCACTCTAGCTGCTCACTTAGCGCTAGCTAGCTGATTTACCTCAGAGAGTCCTTAATGTCCATTCCCCTTTAAGAAATATTAAGTGAACATTTTTACTGCTATTGCTTAGAAACAGCTTTGTCTGGCATATTTTGTCAAGTTTGAGAAGGCATAATATTGTAGTGGATTGTGTGGATATGGGTCATTCTACAGAAATGTCCTTTTTGTGTCCCTAGCGTTTACAGATATTACATTTGAGAAACATGTTAGGGTTACAATTTATTTATATTTTAAAATAAAAAAATAAGTTATTTTAACAATTACAACTTCTTCAGCCATCAATTTAGCAGTATTGGTTTTTAATTAAATTATCTAGAATTCCAAGCACCACAGAAGAGCTCGTCCCCACAGTCATGTATAAAGGGTGGGTGACATATTTTAAAGAAAAAAAAACATGTTTTTCTGCAATTTTAACTACAATTATCTATACATGACTATGAAATATATAAATTAAATTACATAAAGAAACAACTGCTAAATAAATATTATAAAATATATAATGAAAGTTGTGGTCCCCAGAAGTCGTGTTTATTTCAAAATCTCTTTTGAAATAAAAATCACGCTGATGACATCACTTGACTTCCTTTTACCTATTTTCTGAGGATCTATGAAAAAAAGCACATGGTGAGTCCACTGTGTCTTTTCAGTTCTCAGAAATTTTCTCATTTAGCTCCTGACTTCATATGAAGCTTTTAGTTGACGTCACTGGTGTGACCCACTTTATTCTTAGACAATTGTGAAAAATAGAATACAAATGGATTAAATTACATATTTTAGTGGATATTCCATGATAGACAACTTGTGGTTTGATGCTCTGTAGCAGCCATTTTGTAAAACGCATGTTTTCTTAAAAATGTCACCATTGTTACTGTCGGTGGTGTTACCTTTCTTTTGTGTAACACCATCATAGGTGATAGGTAACACCAGTGACTCCTATGGAGAGAGAGAAAAGTGGACATTTCTGTAGAATGACCCGTTTGTTATCGAGTACTAAAACGGGTGGAGTAACTCCACAAAGACTTACTTCTCCTTAGTTTAGTTTTCAGGAACGATCTATCACGTCTTCTTGCTCGTCTTTCTGGATGAGGCATTTTGAAGACGCCTGTCTTATTCCTGTTGGCAGAAACGAGTAAAGTAGCTCCACTTGAGTGGAAGTCTGGGCAAAAGTGAAAGTACTACAAATATCATCACTGTTAAACAAATTAACCCCCTCCGTAGGGATTAAATACTGTTTAGTTTAAATGATTTTTCGTGGCTTCTTTTGAGTTATTTTTAGTAGTTATTCAGTATCATATATACTATAATATTACTGAAGGAGTTATGTGTTTATTTAATACTTGAGTAGTTCGTATTCACAACCAGTCCTCTGTTCGTGTTGACGGAATACAGGTGGGAAAATCAGTGCGTACGTGGCGTTGGAATGCAGTCAGAAAACGTGCAGTGATAAACCGGCTCTGATTCTGTTTGCTTGTTTGTTTATGTGTTTGCTTGTTTGTTTGTTGAAAACCCGGTTTGTTTGCAAACCTCCTAATTCAGCACGGCTACTGTGTGAGTTTCGTTTTGCTGCGCTTCTCCTGGTGGCTAAATCTCAAATGGCGTCTCACTCCCTACTCCCTACATAGCGCACTACACAGCTAATAGAACTGCTTCTACACACAAATAGTGCACTGTATGTCCAGATAGGAGCCGTTTGGGATTCAGCCTCAGTTTGAGCTGATTTCTGGAGATTCTGGTGTTTCTGACGTTTGTGAAAAAGCTATATTTGATAGAACACAGCTGCTCCATCGCCTTGGTTGTCGTCCTTCCAGAGGAGGTCAGTGAGTTTTTGTCGCCGGAGAAAGTTCGCAAAAATAGCTGGCAAGCAAAAAATATGACAGGGGCGGATTAAATGTCGCGTTTTCGTCATTCAAAAAAGGCGTTTGGTAGGCAAGATACCGTCAATTCTACATATTTTGGAATGAATATATTGTCGTCTGAATAAATCGCGTCTGTATGTTGGCCTTTCGTGTTTAACCCACTTACATGCACAGCTGTAGAAACCATTAAATGAAGTAAAAGTCTTGTTCCAATGTTTAATCTGTCAAAAAAAACTGAACTTGCATCAGTCAGAGAATTCTAATTATAGCCTACACCAATTGTTTATGCTATGATATTTGATATCAGTTTTTATATTTTTGTTCACACTCTGAACTACAGGCATAAAACCTTAAAGCAAAGCCATTACATAGTCTAAAGCATGATTCACTTCCCTTTGTCTTCACTCCCTTTCTAGGCCTCGCCCAGCAATGGAGAGATGTGAACTCTTCCTAACTGGTAAAGTTTGCTTTCAATCATGACTTTACTCGCCTACGTTATGAAAGTGATTCATTGCATATTGTTCAGGATACAAAGCAGAAGTTTCAGTATCTTATCCAGTCATAAAATCTCTTTTATTTGTTAATATTTTTAAAAGCACTCAGTCTTCTTAATAATTTCATTTTCACTGTGTACTGTATGAGTGGAAAGTGGAGTTGGTTGGCACAGTTTTCACTCTCTGCTGTATATCTCAGGCATACTGTACTTTAGAAAACCCAGACAGCAAATAAAAGGTGAACGTCGTAGTTAAAATTACACACTTTCAATTTCAGAAAATATGTCCTGGAATTAGTGAATTCATGTGGACACTTGTGCCAACCAGCCCCACTATGGGGTTGACTGGCATGTGTTATGGGGATGGTGGACACAGCGTTAAAAAGTGACAGTTTTGGTCAATTTATATTAACTTACATTTAATGGATTTCCATTTTTGTTTTTGTCCTCCCACCGTAACATAGCATAACAGTCAGAGTTCTTTACAAAATGGCTAGATTTTAGTCAAGAGGGCGATCATTATTATGTGAGAGCTCCCCCTACTGGATCAGAGCACAAAACACCTCATGGAGCCAGTATAGGGAGTTTATCAGATTATGATGGACAGAGTTTTTAGAATTGCCTCTATTTATAATAATTATTGAAGAGGGATCTCACAAGAATGTGACTGCTAAATTTAGTACACATTGACCTTTCAACTTTGGTACGTGCTGTAGCTTTTTTTAACAAATAAGTCAAAAAAACTAGGAAGCAGTACAATTTTGGAAATGACTGCATTGGCACAGTTGTTGAACTCAATCTACAATCTGGAATCATTCTACAACAGATACTTGTTTCCATGTGTTTTATTCTCAGAGTGCACCTTCATTTGTTTGTTGAAATCACTAACATTTATCTCGGGGGACCAAACCTCCAGGTCCCCCTTAAGAGGGATTGTTTTCTGAACCTGTCACCTTTTCCACTTCTTACGAATTTACATGCCAGTTTAAAGAAAACCTCCAAAATTGTTTCTCCTTTTTGTGAACAATTTATTTTCATTTATTATTTTTTTTCACACACCCAACTTAGACTTGGACTTGATGAGAATATATGGAAGATATAGTTCTGCTAGCTGAAATGTTATTTTAGTAAGTTACCACAAGTTACCACAAATGTTCTCGGATTGATGGAAATGCTGCAGTTATTTTTTGGATCAGTAGTGACCCCACAAAGTTAAACACTCTCTGTCATCTTTTCTCTTCATCTCCACAGTTTCAGTGCTGAGCTGCCTGAGTCATGGCTGGGAGGTTCAGGTGCCAGAATCAGTTAAAGCTGTTAAGGGCAGCTGTGTGATGATATCGTGCCACACCAGCTCACACAGTCACGTGAATTGGTTCAAGTATAAAGGTGTAGGGTACCCTGTAGTGTATTCTAGAAACACTGCAGGTATAATAGCTGAGTTTAGAGGAAGAACATCAGTGCCTGGAAGTCCCAGTCAGGGAGACTGCAGCTTGAAGATCAACAATGTCCGCCAGGAAGATAATGGGATAAGCTTGTATCCATGGATCTATCCAGAGACATCTAGCAACCAATATAAATACATCCTAATAAATGTCTGTGAGTATACAAACAATACAAACATCCAAAACCTGCAGCCAGGAAAATGAGTATTGAAACTATCAAAATGTAACTTGTTAGTTTTTTATTTATAATGGTTTAGTTCATGTGCCTCTTCTTATAATACACACTTCGTTATACCATACCTTTTAAAAGATAGCATTCTTGTTTTCCTGCATTTTTTGTAGAAGTGTAATGACTTTTGCCTCTTTTTGCCTCTTTTTAACTTTTCACCTCTAAACCATCTGAGTTTTAATTACATCACTGTGTAACTGTGTACCAGCAGATGGGAAAATAATATTAGAATATAATATAATAAAATATGTTATTATCTTTATCTCCACCACCCCCACCTGTTACCAAGAAAAAACCCTCAGCCAGCTCAGAGACCCTCCCCAATACCATATTTCACTCCCAAATATGTCAAATGCATCATTATGATTTCCCATTCACTATGATTTTAAATGACTTTTAAATTAATAATTACACACGTGATTATGATTTTGGACTACGAAAGTCTTCTGACCAATTAATATTAATATTTGTGCTTTGATTCCAGTGAACCCTGAGGTTAGCATTTCCGTTGAGAACACACAAACGGATGGAAAGTTATTCTCTGCCAACTGCACAGTCCAGTATTCCTGTCCATCGTCCCCACCACCGTTAGAATGGATGGGTTTGTCTTACATTTCTAACAACGTTACCAGCACTGTGGTCTCAGGAGGACTGTGGACTTTGGTGGCACGTGCTCAGTTCAGAGCAAACCGTCTAGACCACAACAGAACACTCAGCTGCAACAGCACATTCAACGGCAAATCTATATATAGTACAACTGTTATGCTCAACATCTTATGTAAGTAAAATTTACAAGCTGTCATGTTTTCTTCACTTTGTATTGTTAAAAGTGGTGAACCTCAGAGCGATGTTTCATTCTTTCTGTGTAGATCATAATTCAATGCAATGTACACCAGAATCAGACAAAATCATTTCTCAATGTTTTTTGTAATAATCAAAATACATATAAAGTGAATGTAAAAATAGGAAAAATGATATACAACTAAGCATGTTTATCAGTATCTTGTAGGTCCTTCTTTACTCATTTAAAATTTGTTATTAGTGAGCTAACTCTGTGTGCGTATCTTCTAGGGCTAGTTATATATATCCAGATTAAGCCTAAGCCTAGACTAAAAAAAGTCCAATGGTGATTCACCATTAGCCCTGCAGTTTGGTTGAAGACTAGGCATAGCCTCTTTCTGCAGCTCTGCTACTGACCATTCCACCAGTGGACTTGTATATTTTTAGATAATAACTCCATGAAGCTCTCTGCTTGTGAAATGTTGTGTGTGTTGAGCTGCTAGGGAGCAATGACGAGTGAAAGGCGAGGGGTGAGAATCCTCTACTCCCAAAACAATTTACTTCTCTCCACCTGCCAATGAGCTCAACTGATGGAGCTCCAAAACAACAGGAAATCGTATTTTAGGGCCACTGTCAGTTTAGACATCAGTTTAGACTCAACTGATGTCCAGGAAAACAGCTCCTCATGTTGGCCTGCCCAGCTAATTTAAAGTGAAATTGTCCAATAGTGAAGCAGACTGTCCTTTTTTTCTTTACCTATCCACCAGAAGCCTCCACTATGAAAGCTCCTCATAAAGCACAGCTACTAACAAATGATAACACTAATTTGTTTTCTAGTTTCCCTGTGTCATTTGTTTACATCTACCATGTGCCTTTGTTTTCTAGTGCCATGTGCTTTTGATGTTGTGTTAGCTCCTCCCCTGCCCTGCCCTGACTTCAGCCTTTACCTGATCCTGGTTTCCTAACCCCACCCACTCATTAGTCTCAGGTGTTCCTTGTCTTCTGTGTTAGTATATATATCCCTGTGTTTCTTTTGTTCCCCAGCCAGCATTGTTGTATGTTCCTGGTTTAGGTTTATGATCTTAAAGTTCTTGTTTCCCTGCTTGAGTTTTCTTTGTGCAAGTCTAGACTTTGTGTTTCATAGTTTTCCTAGTCAGTTCGTGTTCTTGGTAGTTCCCTTTGTTGCCGTGTTTTGGTGTGTTCTCCATGGATCCCAGTACTATTTATCTGCCTACCTGTCATTTGGATTATCTATGTAATACACTCATGCTTGTACTCCGCCTCCTTGTCTGCCTTGCCAGCCAATGTGTTTCATTGCCATAGTATGAAATTGAATAAATTATATAAAGGAACAGCTTCCCTTCCCTCTACACTGCTGTTCTCTGTCTATTCAGAAAGATTTTGTTTTCCACTTATGCTATATGGCCAGAAGTCTGTGGACACCTGACTATTGTACCTACATGAGCTTGTTAGACATCCTTTTCCAAAACCATGGGCATTACTATGGAGTTGCCCCCTTTTGCAACTATAACAGCCTCCACTCTTCTGGGAAGCTTTCCAGAAGATTTTGGAGTGTGTCTGTGAGAATTTGTGCCCATTCAGTCAAAAGAGCATTTGTGAGCTCAAGCACTGATGTTGGATTGGTAGGCCATCTACATTACAGTTCATTTCAAAGATGTTCAGTGGGGTTGAGGTCAGGGCTCTGTGCAGACCACTGGAGTTCCTCCAAACCATGTCTTTATGGAGCTCACTTTGTGCATGCTGTAGCATTGACATCACCCTTCACTGGAACTAAAGAGCCTGAAAATCAGCCCCAGTCTATTAACCCTCCTCCACCAAACTTCACTCTTAGCACTATGCATTCCAGTAGGTAACGTTCTCCTGGCATCTGCCAAACCCAGATTCATCCTTCAGATGGTCAGACAGTGAAGCGGGACTCATCACTCCAGAGAATACATTTCCACTGCTCCAGAGTCCAGTGGAGGCATGCTTTACACCATTCCACCTAACACTTGACATTACACATTTTGATCTTAGGCTTGTGTGCAGCTGCTCAGCCATTGAAACCCATGTGGCAAAGGTGGCATCCCATGACAGTGCCATGTTTAAATCACTGAGCTCTTTAGTATGACTCATTCTACTGCCAGTGTTTGTCTATGGAGATTACAAGGTTATGTGCTTGATTTTATCCACGTTAGCAATGGGTGTGGCTAAAACACCTGAATTCATCATTTGGAGGGGTGTCCACATACTTTTGGCTATATAGTTTATTTGCCACTACCTGTGCTACTGAACTCAGCTAACTCTGGACTGTTTACAGTGAAATAGTTTGTAGGTCATAAGAAATGCAGCGATAAAACATATAATCTATATTCACTGCATCTCCACAGACGCCCCTGAAGATGTTAAAATAGATGGAGCAGATAGAAGTGTGGTTGAGGGTGGTGCAATCTCACTCATGTGTCCTAGTAAGAGCAACCCTGAACCAAATGAGTACAAGTGGCTTGTTAACCAAAAGGGTTCCACGATGACCCACACAGCACCAAAATCGTTTCCCCTTAAAGCTGTCAAACGAGACACATCAGTGTCCTGCACTGCCCGTAGCTCTGTTGGAAGAGGTCAATCAAAGCAAATACTGCTGAATGTCCATTGTGAGGGGTTCTCACGTTGACTGCAATTACACATTTCCACCAGAGAGGTCTCCAAATACTGTGGTCATTTTGAAAATAATCAAACATAATGTTGGCAATGAGGGGCACTGATAACTTGATTAACCAAGTTTTTGTTATTGTAGAAAAAAACCCAAAAAACAGGGATTTATGCTCACAGGTTCACCGTTATAAATGTTTCTGTGTATACTGGTATTTCCAGTGATATTTTAATGGCTTTACTTCTTGTGTAAATATTTCTTTGCTTTTTAAATTATAATATTTATATGGTTCGTTTTTGTGAAGAGAGTTTGTGAAGGACAGAGTTTATATTTATTATCTTTAGTATTATATATATTGCCTATTCAGTAGCAACTAACAAACTGTAACATTGTTAATTAATAAGGTTAATTACATTATTACTTCTTTCCTTCAGTGCCTTATTGTCCTTTTGCTGCTGCAGCATTGTGAATTTCCCCACTGTGGGACTAATAAAGGATTATCTTATTTTTATTTTATATATATTTCACATTTACTACATATTTTATTTATAGAGATAATGTAGTTTGTGAATATTAAAATAATTTAAAAAATGAAAGAAAAATAAGTAAAAATACTTAATTAGAGTGATTCTAAGTGGAAAAACATTGAGGATCATATTTAAAGTAAAATTATACTATGAATGTAATGCAAATGGTTTGTAGGCTATTTTGTGCTGTAAGTGTTAGCCAGGCTAGTCTTGCTAACTGTCACAGTATAGCCCTTAGCATGGGGGTTGGTCCATTAGTGGCACTGGAGCGTCTCCTTACCTGGTAACATGAGCAAAAAGAAGAAACCCAACCTAATTTGAACATAACCTTATTCTGTGCTATGAAGTGGTGCTTATCATCAGTGAGGCTGTGTGAACAGAGTAAGGCAGCAGAGTCCAGTAGATCTATGAAATGTGCGTCTCTCTGTATTCATCATGCCCATAGCAGAAACTCCAGGTCTAAACTGGTTTTCTCTATGATATCAATGAATGGCATTTTTGAACATCATCGTGGTCATGGCCTGTGGTCATTTAAAATGTCCGAAAAAAAAGCCAAAACATTTTGTCCTTTTACAGGATTCCCTGAATTACGAGGTTGTGCTGCAGTCAAATTACAACTACAAACAAATTCCAAGCAAGCTAATGCTCATTCGCACTGAAATCACACTGCATGAAAGTAAGTCTACTATTAACTTCAACACTATTATATACCAACACCAGCTACTGTGACCACAGCCTAAAACTGCAGAAGCCTTCAAACAACCACACTGACAAAGCTTGCTGGTTTGCGTGGGATACTGTGGTGAAGTTATCAGTCTTATTATGTCTATTCAGTGTTCCTAATATAGGCATGAAGGCGACTACAGAATGATGACGAGATCTATGAGACTTGTTCACTTCATGGTAATGAATAGGCGGTATGGCATTACACCAGCGCTTTAGATCAGGGGTCTTCATCTCTGGTTCTGGAGGGCCGGTGTCAAAAAGCACCTACTAGTCCACTAACAGATGAGTTGAATCAGGTGTGTTTGAGCGAGAGCCAGAGTTAAAGACCCCTGCTTTAGAGAACTGAAGTTTGTGATAGTAAGAACACCAGTGTGTTTTTATGCTTCATGAATCTTTAGCCCTGGTTAACATGTTGAGCAGTACAGCATTAAAACTAGTCATGCCTGGTTATCCTGTCTCTCAGTTCATCCTGGTGAACTCAATGTGCTCTGGGTCAGCTGGAGGTGTCCGGTGTGTGTGTTGAGTGGAAGCAGCGCCCAAAACTAACGTTTCCTGGACAGTTATTGGGAGCAGCGAGTAGGCAGGGAGGATATAGATGCAACAGTGCTCTAAGTGCTCCACCTAATACGGTAGCATTCAATGCCATAAAATACACCTACTGTTACTATGATGACCACAGTACAATGATGCAACCATAACATCTCATTGATGCTGTGGGATGACTGGAGGTGTCAACAGAACATTTACAGAGTGTTAAACTAGATTAGATTAAGTGACCCTTATTAGTCCCACAACGGGGAAATTTCACCTCCGCATTTTACCCATCCATGCAGTGAAACACCACATACACACTAGTGAACACACACACTGGGGGGGCAGTGAGCACACTTACCCAGAGCGGTGGGCAGCCCTATCCACGGGGCCCAGGGAGCAGTTGGGGGTTAGGTGCCTTGCTCAAGGGCACTTCAGTCATGTCCTGTCAGCTCAGGGGATCAAACCGGCAACCTTCTGGTCACAGGGCTGCCCTAACCTCCAGACCACGACTTCCCCTGAAAGCTACACAAAACTACATTATGTCATTTAAACCACATAACACAAATATAACAACATTAATGCCCATATGCCCACATTTGGCACAGGGTGGAATTGTGTGAGCGTTGGGCCAACAAGTTTCAGAAACAGAAGCGACGATAATCTAAAAAAGTGCATGGACCCATTTTGTGACTAGCAGATCATGGTCAATTGAAGGAAACCACCGCTCGCACTCTGCACTGCACTTGAGATTGGAATGCTGTTCACAGGAACCCACAACTGTTTCAGTCCATCAGGAGTTTCCAGTGCGTTTGAGTCCCTGTACTCCCTAAAGGCCCAAATCACTAGCTGTTGTTGGCACTGGTGCCAAGCTAGCAACATCAACGTTGCCGCTAGTGCTGGCTTTGCCAGTGGTCTGGGGATCACCGTCCTCTGTCAATTCTCTTGTTTTTCATCATTTCTAAAACTCGCCATTGGCTAGCACTCATGATGCGTGAGCAATGTAAAACATGCTACTGATCACTTGATTACGCTAAGACTGCAGTTATCATCTACAAAATGAGCTGGTGGGTTTTTGGAAAGGATACACGCAAATAAGTATAATTTAGTAAAATGTTCTATTAATATCACTTCTTTCTGTTCTATTTTATTTCATTTAAAAATAGGGCTGGATCCACGTAAACAAGTTCCAGGAGGCTTTTGTTCCAGATATGAGAAGCACTAGATCTATTTCCAGCAGGATCTAGTACACATTAAGCCCTGCTTGTCTGTCAAAATGCATCGGCTTTGGAACATTTTATTTTTCCATAGGGCATGATAAGAGCGATTTTCCAAACCACAATTCATTTCTGTCATAGAGAAATCCAGCTTAGTCTGGAGTTCCTAATATGGGCATGACACCATCTACAGAATGACGAAACGACTACAGAGATCTATAAGACTGGGCCACTGTGTTAGAGTGATTAATAAAGGCACTGCCCCCTCTGCTGGCAAAACCTCTCCACTGCTTCAGACCAGAATACACTAGTGCTTTAAAGCTTCATCTCCAGTCTGGGAGGATTGGGGTCCAGCTCAATTTGGTGAATGCCCTACTCAAAAAGCACCTACTAAACTTTTGATGAGTTGAATCAAGTGTGTTAGAGCGATAATGCATTAGAGGAATGAAGATCAAGTCTGTGACAGTAAGAACACCAATGTGTTTCTGCTTCATGCACCTTTAGCCCTGGTTAACGTGTTGAGCAGTACAGCTTTAAGACTCAGCAGTCATGTCCTTTGTCCTGTGTTTCCCTGTCTCTCAGTCCCCCCCTCCATCCTGATGAACTCAACATGCTTTGTGTCAGCTGGAGGTGTCCAGTGCGTGTGTCGAGCAGAAGCAGAGCCCCAAGCTAACATCTTCTGGATGGTTGATGGGAGCAGCGCTGTCCACCCACACTTTAACACAACGACTACATATGCTGGAAGAATAGCAGTGTCAGAGCTGACAGGACCGCCGGCCAGCAACGTGTCCTGTAAGGCGTCTAACGTTGTGGGGACAGACACTTACCAGATGCCAATCCTGCATCCACTGTCAGAAGGTAGTGCCTTTCTAAATGGTGTGTGAGTGAAAGAACACTAGACAGACCTTCAGTCAAACTGTGTTTTCACTTGTTGTACAAGAAGCATAACAGTAAGAATGCTTCTGTTTCTCTCTCTGTTATTTAACCCTTGTGTGGTGTTGGGGTCTGTGGGACTCATTTTCTATGTTTACCAAAAGAAAAAATGATGCGATTCATTATTATTTCAACCTCAGATTCCTCACCTTTGCTCATTTTCTGTGAAGAACATATAAATTAACACATTTTCAGTGACTCCACTCTGTTCATGTGGTGCTGGGCTGAACCTGCGAGGAATAAAAGTGTGGAGGTGCTGTGTCCTTCACTCTGTTCTCCTCCTACATGGCCTGCTGTGAGTGTATGTGTTTGTATATATGTGTGTGAGGGTGGACAACATGGACAGGCTGCTGACTGGCTACAGCTGCTAAAGGAGAACTCTACGCTGGCCATGTGTGATATAATAAACATCTGGTATTTTTACATAAATTGTTATGACTATTGATTTAAAAACCAATAATATGGTGGGTCCACCAGACCACTGAGTAACAACAACATCAACACCACACAAGGGTTCAGCACACAGTTACATTTCCAGCTCAAAAAATGACTTAAATAGTTAAATGAGTAAATCATGTAATGCTTTAAACTGATTATCGTTCAGTTTTAAGACAAGGTTGTCCATCACTCAAACATCACTCCATTTTTTTTTTTAAGTTTTCAAAATTCTATCAGGAATTTAACTGTTTTCTTCCTTTGAGAGGAGGACTTGAGGCCTACATCATCATACACTTGCCTCATGCCATGTCTTGTTGCTGAGTAATCGGCTTATGTGGTTTCAGGTACTGTAATTTATTAAAATGCACAAAAAAACAGACAAAATTCACGCTTCAGAATGGCTACTACTGTTATTAGCTTTGCTAATGTACTTGTGTCATTTTTTATAGACCACAGTTTGCCATAGTGTCAGAAACCACATAAGCAAGTCTAAGAGAACTTAAGAATTTGACAATTTGTGGCAAGTGTGTGATGACTTAAACATGCAGTTAGCACAGTGCTGCTCGGTGACCATAAGTTTCCACGAGCTACATTAACCTCTAAGTTCCAGTGCAAAACTAAAGAAGTAAACTTAAGACACCAAACATGTGTTGCCATAATTACGTGAGGAATGTGGAAAACTGTAGAAATTTAATTCATGGATTCTTGCTTTAAGTCTTTTTTCCATCATTTCCAGGAAACTCTGGATCGATGGTAGCTGCTGTAGTGGCTGTGGTGTGCATCATCCTAGGAATTGCTGTGGCAGCTATCTGCTTAAAAAAGAGGTAAAGTTTATTATAGACATGTGTCATAGGCCCAATCCCATTTCACCCCTCGCCCCAACCACTTACCATTGCCATTTCTTTTGACTTTGTTTTCTCCTGTTTTTGGTATAGTCAGGGAGTTGGGGAAGACTGGCTGTATTTTTGTTTCTTTAATTTTACATAGGTAAGTTAGTTCTCTAAAATCTCTAGCTAGGCTGGCTATGTTTGTTGTTGCCCACTCTGATGCTGTCCTGTGTCGTGTATACAGAAGAGCAGCACAAAAGGAAAATAACACGACTTGATCTGTTCAAACGTCATCTGGCTCTCTTTTGTCTTTTTTCATGTTTTGATCACCACAAACCCCTAGACAGGTCGTAATATACATTGGGGGCTCGTCCTCTTTTGGTTGTGCTGGGTAGTCGTTGGCTTGGCTGTTTCTTGTGTGTGTGGGGATGGGTCTTGGGCTGTGATGTTTCCATTAAGTGCGTTTATTAGTGCGCCGTCCGTAGAACAGTTTGAGCTGTGTCGTAACGCTGATTTATTGCAACTCGCCCAGCATTATGATATTGGGTGACTGAGATTTTGAATAAATATTCCCTTAATCAGTAATCAAATAGATTAGATGTTGTAATCAATAACCAAATAGGAAGTATTGCCTAACAGAGAATATGAATTCTCTCACAAAGGGTCGGCCTTAGTCTGTCTGCATAGGAGATTCTAGACACTGGAAAGCAGCTGGGTTCACAGAGAGGCCTGTGTGTACCTACTGACCCAGTGAAGAGAGGGACAAGTTGACCTTGAAAGGTAGAGCAGGCTGGTAAAAACCTGTTGAAGCCAGTTTTGAGGAGTGAGCTCGTCATGCGATGGCCAAATTGATGGACAAAGAGATGCACCTATTAGAGAATGAGCTAATATCAAAATTTGAGAAGTGAGGTGGGGGGATATCACATTATCCCAGATAAATGGCATATAAACTGTTGTTTGGAACACTGTATTTGCGCAGTTGGGGTCTCTTGAGACCCTGTGCCACCTGATGCTGAAATAAAGAAGAAGCCTTTTTCTCCCTTCCACAACAACTCAGCGGCTGAAGTCTTTTATTCTACTATCTTTTATTTTTGATTGAATACCCTTTTTATTTTTGTTTATTTTATTTTTGTTTATTTTTGTAAGTGATTAAGACAATAATTAGAACAAAACCACAGCACAGAATAGTTTAGATTTTAAAAACCATCATATGTTGGGGCTTTGGGCAAGGAAGAAAATAGCTCTTGGTCCCGACATCAGTCTCTCACATCACTGCGGAGTTTAGGTCCATTCCTCTGCAAAATTGCTCTAATTCAGTAAAATTGGAGGGCTTTCCAGCATGAAGTGTCCTTTCAATATCCCACGACAACAGAGCTCAGATCAGGACTTTTGACTAGGCCATTCCAGAACCTTAATTTTTTTTTCTTATGAGCCATTCAGAGGTAGACTTGCTTTTCTGCTTGGGATCACTGTCTTGCTGCTTAACCTGACTCTGCTTGAGCCTCACATCATAAACTAATTCATAGTTACGTCTATTATGGCAAGACACCCAGTCCCTGAAGCAGCAAAGTGTCCCCACACTATCACACTACCACCACCATGTTTCACTGTTGGTATGGTGGTCTTATTGTGGAATGCTGTGTTAGCTTTACACTAGATGTAATTTGACCCCAGTCTTCCAAAAAGTTCCACTTTCAACTCAGGACAGGACATTATTCCAAAGTGCTTGGAGGTCATCAAGGTGTTTTTTGTGTATGACAACCCTTTTTTCTATGTTCTGCTTGCTTAGCAGTCGTTTTCGCCTTGCAGCTCTCCCATGGTTACCAGCTTGGTCTCTTTGGGTGACTCTGGGTTCCTTCGTGACTCGTCTTTTCGGAGTTTCCGCCACAGGGAAGAACCAGTGTTCCAAATTGTCTCAATTTGGAGATAACTGTAGTTGTCACTGTAGTTCACAGGAGTTGCCAAGCCTGAGAAATGGCTTTGTAACCTTTTCCAGACTGACAGATTTCAATAACTTTCTCTTCTCTTCACGAATTTCTTTTGATGTGGTATAGTGTGCAGACTGTTGAGACCTTTTAGCTTACTTCACATCCCTGAAGAGATTCTATTTAAGTGATGTTCGGATTCAACAGGTCTTGCAGTAATCAAACCTGCGTGTGTCGAGTTTACAAGATCCCAATTTTCAACTCAATTTGGTTAAATGGTTGACTGAATAACTAATGGGGCAACTACTTTTCACAAATGGGTACTTGGTGTTGTGTAGTTTTTTCCTTCAGTAAATGAAGTGCTTATTTAAAAACTGTGCTTTGTGTTTAATCAGGTTGTTCTTGTCTTATGTTGAATTTTGTTTGAACATCTGAAGAATTTTGTTAAGAAACAAGGCAAATACACAATGGTTGAGGAAATCTAGAGGCGCAGATACTTTTTCACAGCAATGTATAAACTGTCAATGTACATGTGAACACAGCTGGTCACGTTATATATATATACACAACCTTTAGCACTTTATCTACGGTCAGTTTCCACAAAGCGGCTCTTGGCAGGATGTCAGCCCACATATGCACTGCATAAAAAGCACAGCTTCACTACTCTTGTGACGCACACACACACACACACTGAGTCACTGATGAGAATGGTGCACCACTCTCACAGTAACCAAACAGCAGTGCTCCTTTGGTCATAAACTGACCGATGATGAGTGGGGAAGAGAGGTGCTGATAAACCATGCACCAGATTAGCATGCCTATTTTGGAGATAACAGTATGTCATAAATAGAGATCTGCTTGGGTTCTATTCAGTATTCAGCAGGCTGATAATTGGCTTGATGTTAAGTTCAAACAGGACTGTAAAATATGGCAGCTTTGCTTGTATGTGTGAACACATTTACACCAACCAGCCATTTCATTAAGTACACCTCCTTGTTTCTACACTCATTGTTCATTTTATCAGCTCCACTTACCATACAGGAGCACTTTGTAGTTCTACAATTACAGACTGTAGTCCATCTATTTCTCTGCATACTTTGTTAGCCCCCATTTACCCTGTTCTTTAATGGTCAGGGACCCCCACAGGACTTACCGCAGAGTTCCAAACTGTCTCTGGAAGCAACATCAGCATGAGAGCTTCATGAGTTGGGTTTGCACACATGCCTAAGATCACTATGTGCAATGCCAAGCATCAAATGGACTGATGTAAAGCACACTGTCACTGGACTCTGGAGCAGTGGAGACGTACTCTTTGAATCATGCTTCACTGTCTGACAGTCTGAAGGACGAATCTGGGTTTTGGAGGATGCCAGGAGAACATTACCTACCGGAATGCATAGTGTCAACAGTAAAGTTTGGTGGAGGAGGGATAATGGGCTGGGGCTGTTTTTCAGCGCTTGCCTTTGGCTTCTTAGTTCCAGTGATGGGTAATGTTAACCCCTTAAATGACCAGAGCTCACCTGCAGGCCCAAAGTTTTATTACACACTTCTGGTTACTGAATAATAAGCCTTAGTATGTAATAAGCCTGAAATTTTAAAGTGTTAATGTTACAACTTATGAAGATATTTCAGATAATTTTATGCTGCCAACTTTGTGACAGCAGTTTGGGAAAGGTCTTTTCCTGTTCCAGCATGACGTGTGCCGCTGTGCACAAAATGAGCTCTATAAAGACATGGTTTGACAGATTTGGTGTGGAGGAACTTCAGTGGTCTGCACAGAGCCCTGACCTCAACCCCACTCAACACATAAACTGTAATAGGGATTGTGAGCAAGGCCTTCTTGTCCAACACCAGTGCCTGACCTCACAAATGCTCTTTCTTACTGAATGGGCACAAATTCCCACAGACACACTCCAAAATATTATGGAAAGCTTCCCAGAAGAGTGGAAGCTGTTATAACCACAAACTTCATATCAGTGCCCATAATTCTGGAATAGAATGTTTAAGCTTATATAGATGTGATGGTCAGGTGTCCATATACTTTTGGCCATATTGTCTACTTGCGAGTGGAAATCATCTTAGAGTCTGATAGGTATGATAGGTAATCCATAAAAACACAGATGTATCTGCTCTTTTTTGGAAAATAACTACCCAGAAGGGATGATAGCATGGAACAGCTAATTTAATATCTCTGAGTATGATGGTGGTCTAGCAAAACTAGACATGCCTCTTGAAGTTCCCCTCAGAGAAATTTGCGTCAGATATCAGTGTTAAATTAGCACATAAAGTGAGATCACACTATATTGTGGGTGAACACATTTTTTACAGCTGTCAAAATGTGAATGTGTGCTAAATAGCTAAATGGTTTTGTTTGTACAGTAAATGCTCCTCTGGAACATTTATAACCTTACGAGCATCATATTCAATCACCCAGATCCTCTGGTCATCAGTTCTGGACAGTTTCTGACACATGTCTACATGGAAAAAGGAAGAGAAAGTAAAGTAAGTAATAAAAAATGGTTTCGGTGTTCTGCTTATGTATACTGATATGGTAATAGAGCTATTTTGGGACTATTTTGGGCATCATAGTCACCAGCTGCTGTTTCCAGTGTTTGGTCTCCATTCTCCAGATATGCACTGGCCACTGACTCTAGAAAACATCAACTGTGTGTTTGACATGCACATAAAAACATTTCCAAATGCTTTATGCTAGAACATTCCACCTAAATCATTTTTACTATCATAAAGCTCACTCTGATGAGTTTAAGGTGAACATTATTAAGTTGTACCACTCACTCTCCAATCCATATACAGAAACTAAGCTAAGTTTTGAATTCACTGTTTTTGTGATGTCATGAAAACCAACCCATTTACACCAATTCAGCGGGTTAGCCCCACCCATTCACAAAGAAATTAGTGTTTCAGCTTGGTCTGCTTTTCAAAAGTGGTACAATACAGGGCAGCCAGTCAGAACAGGGCTCATTTACATACACACACCGAACGGCCACTTCTTTAAAACCACCTCCTTGTTTCTACACTCGTCCATTTTATCAGCTCCACTTACCTTATAGG